GGCAAGGGTTGCAATTTCTCCAAAACTAAGAGATTGTTATCCAAGTATAACTCTGACCACTTACTCACTGCTAAAGCCATAGATGTGGCATAATTTTTACTAAATCTACCCAGAAATCAAGTTGGAATTTTTACTTTTAGTTAAGATGTACAAGATAAAAATTTTATTCTCTCCAAAACAACTAGAAAACAACTAGAATTTCTTATAGAGCATAAATTAAACACACACACACATGCACACACACACACACACACACACACACACACTTTTCCTCAAAGACATTTGGTGACTGTGGACACAAAGGGGTGAGTGCTCTCTAGGTGATAACAGAGAATGCATTCACGGGTGGCGGGGGTGGCGGGGGGGCAATTGCTGAGGCTGGAGACAGATCAGGTAGAGAATTGAGCTTGTCAGAGAATTCTGCTCAGAAGTAAATTTCCCAAAATGTTGACAAGCCTTCAAACTGGTGTTTCAAATTTGAATCTAAAGGAGACTCAAATGCAAAGGCAAATAACCATAATGAGGAATTCCTTTACAGTGAACTTTTACTGAGTAAGCAGAGACTGAGAACATGGCTGGAAAGCAGAAAGAGATCTACAGTCTCAGTTTCCCAAATTCAATGCCTGATAATGCTGGTCCCACGGCCTTGCAGGCTTGTGGTCTCCCAGTATCATGGTGATACCACACTCCTGCAATCTTACTGCCTGCTCTTTTGCAGTTTCACAGCCTTCAGTTTTCATTTTCTCTGAATCTTGTGGTCTTGTGCTCTTAAAATGTTATGGGCTTGCAGTCCTGCTATCTCTTAATCTCAATGTAGCAAGTTCAAGATCTAGGAAACTTGCACTCCATCGAAAAGAGGCTTTAAGTCACCTTCAAACACTTGAAAGCAGAGGTGAAGTGAGACTACCTAAAGCTGCAACAGTATCCCTCGTTAAAGCAATTTCTGCTAAGAACAAAGGTATATGTCCCCTGGTGATCTCAAAAATTTGGAGTGAAGCCAGAGGTGAAATAAGACTTTCGGAAGCTGCAGCAGTACCTCTTCTTAATGCAATTTCTGCTAAGAATAAAGATGTCTGTCCCTTGGTGATCCCCCAAATTTGAAGCTATTGCTTACCAATGATTAAATACTAAAGTCCAAAAAGAGTGATTAAAGATATTATATCCCTAATAACCTCAAAATCTACTGCTTAACTTATTGTTTTTAATATTAAAATAACCAAAATAAACTTTAAAAATTATAAAATGTGTGATGATATAAAATTACTATGATATGAGAAGCTGAATGCCCCTGTAGTCCCCATCCCCCATCCCTCCCCTCCTTTTTTCCAGGAGGTTGACAGAGGAAGCATGGCATGCAATCTTGAGAGGAGTAAATACCTCCTGCAGGGCAGCTTGCAGAAGGAAATGTCCAGCTCTGTGGAAGGAGTGAGGACAGAGGGTTCAGCAAAGAGGGAGGCCAAAGTCCCTCACCCCTTCTCTGCAGCCCAAGAGTGAGTCCCGCTAGTCGACCTGCTAAGGGATGCCCTATCTCAGCCACAGCCAGCCAGGCCTTAAGTCCAAGAGCCTGAGCGCAGAAGCAGGCTGCCTCTGGGTTCCCTTGGAAAGGAGAAAGGAGAGAAGAGGGTAAAGCCGAAGTGCAGCTGGGAAGGGCCTAGCAGGGAGCTCCATCTCTCCCGCTTGAAAGTGTTCCAAGCCGAGAGCCACTGTCCTGGGAAACCTCGTAAGACATCTCTACTGTTTCAGAAGGCAGGGAAGAAAGGTGGCCACAATTTTTTTTTTGAGACGGAGTTTCGCTCTTGTTACTCAGGCTGGAGTGCAATGGCGCGATCTCGGCTCACCGCAACCTCTGCCTCCTGGGTTCAGGCAACTCTCCTGCCTCAGCCTCCTGAGTAGCTGGGATTACAGGCACGCGCCACCATGCCCAGATAATTTTTTGTAATTTTTAGTAGAGACGGGGTTTCACCATGTTGACCAGGATGGTCTCGATCTCTTGACCTCGTGATCCACCCGCCTCGGCCTCCCAAAGTGCTGGGATTACAGGCTTGAGCCACCGCGCCCGGCCCACAATTTTTTTTGTTTCTTTTTCTTTGTTGATTTTTAAAAATATCTACTTTGGTTGGAAAACTCTGTGCAACTGTAGTATTCAAGGAGTGTTCTATCTTTCCTCACTCCCCTTTCCTTTCTTTTGCCTCCTATAAGTGAGAAGAAGGAAAAGCAGATTTCTGGACAGGTAAAGAATTGAGGGACTCAACATACTCTGATTAACCATGCCTGTGCCAATAAGTCTAGGAAGCCAAACTACAACCTCTGCAAGTAATTGGCCTAGAAAAGTCAGAACTTGGTCAATAACTGCCAGTCCTCTAATTTTTTGCTCTTGTGTCCTCAAACCCTTCCCAACTTGAGCCAACCAGAAAAAGCCAAATATGCTCCACATACCAATCATATAAGAAGCCCCAGGTTCCTCATGCCAACAGCTTCCAGTGAGTCCTGAAGACTTCCTGTTTTATTATAAAGCTTTCCCACTGCCCTGCCTACATTAGAATCTCTGCCAAAGGCAAGTAATGGGGTCTGACTCCCTTGCTCTAGCAAACTTTGAATAGGTAGCCTGTTTTCATTTGCACTACGTTTATTTCTACAAAACTATTTTCTCTCCTTCACAAACATGAGAGGAGGAGTGAAGTACCCCTGAGGAACCTTATCTATTTAGTCCTTAAAGTTTCTCCCAGATAGGGTCTGAGAGGCAGGCTTAACAGCTACACCAGCTGGCCCCTCCTCTTGTCTCCCAGGAGGATCCTGGAAGGCTTTTAAATATTCCACTTTTTTTGAGTGCCATGAAAATCCTGGATACCTGGTTTAATTTAACTCTCTGCAGAGAGATCACCAAGGCAGTTTACACACCTCCATCTTCCACTGCATGAAGTGCCTTTGGCCCAGCAGGCTCTGCATGCAAAATGACACATACTCATGAACAGATCACACACTGCTGTTTATCTACTGCAGCTTCTCCACCTTACACATTATGGCCTTAGGCTCCATGTTGCTCATGATCTTCATTCTCCATGGAGAGTATAGTGGACACATTTTGGCCTCCAGAAAATCTTTTTTTTTTGTCATTGCCTTCACTGCCTACTGCATAAGACCATATCTTCATTTAGTCTTTGCTTTCTGGTTATTTCAGGTTGTTTCAAGCAAACCTGAAACTGAGATTTGTCTTTTCTATTTTATTTTTTATTTTACTTTAAGTTCTGGGATGCATGTGCAGATGTGCAGGTTTGATACATAGGTAAACATGTGCCATGGTGGTTTGCTGCACCTATCAACCTGTCATCTAGTTATTAAGCCCTGTATGCATTAGCTATTTGTCCTGATGTTCTCCCTCCCCTCACACCCCACAACAGGCCCCAGTTTGTGTGGTTCCCCTCCCTGTGTCCATGAGTTCTCATTTTGGAAAAGATTTCTGTGTATGCATTTGAAGAAGAACTTGCTGAAGAAGCTCCCAATAGCTGCCAGCTGGCCCTAGACTGGGGTCACATTATATGACAAATTCTGCAGGTCATGCATCTATTGGAGTATCTCAGTGAGAATGAATTTTCCTCTGAACACACTCTAAGAAAGTTGGTTCTGTCAGAAACCACCACTACTGCTAAGGCAGTTTGTAAAGGCATAGGCCAAAAACCAGGAACATCCTGGTGCCTTGCATGGTGATAGACAATTATTGTCCCGGGGTTGGGTCTGAGGCCGGATTATGCTGAATCAAGGCCACCTTAGATTCGTGGTTGCTATGGTCTGAGTGGCTGTGTCCTTCCAAAATTTGTATGTTAAAACTTACATGTTACAACCAATGCAGTAGTATTAAGAGACAGGGTCTTTGGAAAGTGATAAGATAACGAGAGCTCTGCCTTCATGAACCACACTCATGCCCTTACAAACGAGGCCTGGGGGAGCTTGTTTGCCTCTGCCACTTGAGGACACAGTGAGAAGGAGCCGTCTATGCGGCAGACAATGAGCCCTCACCAGACACTGTATTTTTACTAGAGCCTTAGTTCTTGGACTTCCCAGCATCTAGAATTGTGAACAACAAATTTCTGTTGTTTATAATTTACCAAGTCTAAGGTATTTGGTTTTAGTGGCAACAGTGCACCATGACATTGGTGCAGGCTGAGGGGAACTGGGGACACTATGGCAGGAGCAGAAGCCATGGAGACCCAAACCCTGGCACAGTTAGGCAGTCTTTGTCATTCCGGAAGGATAACTCACCAAGACTGGCCCTCTCCAAAAGTGGTAAATTTCTGCTTTGATTTGTGCTTGTGGAGAAACTGCTTTGGGAGGGGTGGGTATGGGAGGGGTGGTTTCTTCCTCTCCAGATCATGGAGGGGCCTGGCAGACACACTGGCCATGCTGCTACTGGTCTTCTTCCCTGACTCCTGGTCCTCCACAGGCCACTGATTTTCTGCATTGCTACTTTGAGTATTCTGGGAGTGGGAATTAAAGGTGGGAATTGGCAGGCTTTCTGGAACTCAGCTGTATAAGGTTGGCAGAGTTGCTATGCTGTACTCTGTAAGATGAAAAGGTACACTGCTACTGCTCAAATCAACTGAAAACTGGGGCTTCAGAATGATGGTGTGGTCCTCCAACTCAGACTACTTGTAGCCGAGGAACAGATAGGCAGCCATTGCTTCTTTGTACTCCTGGCTCGTGAGTGAGTCCTGGACCTTTTCCAGTGTGTAACTGCATACGTCAGCTCAGTCCACTGGAGACCTAATAGTCAGGGGATGGCTCTGCATCTGACTTTAGTTCATTATCTTAATGAGCTACATTTTTCCATCAATCTTTCATGATTTTCTCTAATGTACCTCTTTTGCTGGGATTTAGAAGGATACATTTCTTGAGCAGGTTTCCATATTCCATGGATATGTGAAAGGGGATATGGTATTGAACTCTCAGTACCTCCTCTCACAGCTCATAGAATTCTGTGCATCAGAAGGCAAAGCTCCACTCACCAGTGTATATACAATGATTCCCAAGCTCTACACATCCATCTCAAGCCCATTATACTTTTGGCTCTGGAAGCATTTGGAGTAACATGGGAGACTGCCACAGGAGGTATCCAGCTTTGTTGGCAAAGGTGACTTGCTGCTGGTTAAAGTCTGAAATTTTGATTTTCACATCAGCATCCAAGAGCAGGTTTTCTAGGTTTACATCTCACTTCTGTTGAGAGTACTCCACATGCCATTATCAAATCTAATAAAATTAACAGTATAATATTATTTTAGTCTATGTTCCAACTTTTCAATTTTCACAAATGTCTTGTTATAATTGATGTTGGAGTAAATGTCCAAACCAGATATACACATTATTCTATAACAATATCACCATTCACATTACATGTTTTACTTTTTATTTTGCATATAGTCTGTCTCCCTCATTAGAATATCGCTTCCATGCAAGCAGGAAATTTTGTCTGTTTTGTTGTTTATTCTATTTTGTATTTGTTATATTATTCTATTTTGTTGTTTACATCTATTCTTCAGCACCTAGTACAGTTCCTGAAGCAGAGTAGGCATTCCGGAAACGTGTGTAGAATGAATGAGTTAATGAGTTAATGAACAGGTGCAGTTGACAACATGAGAGTGATAGCCCTGGAAGTATGCTGGGTCAACATGGTAAAATCTGTTGCTTCCTTACAGGTTCTGAAACACTGAGCAACTTTTCTTAGCCTCGATTTGCTCACATGTAACATGGAATAATAACTCCAGCTTTTCAGGGTTGTTCCAAGAATTAAACTATGCATACGATACCTGTCATAAATCATGCGTCTGTGGGTCTGCAATATTTGTCAGATTTTGTTGTCAATTTTGTAATAATTTTATGAAAATAGTTTTGTAATTTTGAAGCTGTTCTTTTTGTACTCTGGACTACATAAACAGCTCTAGATTGATGTGATCTTTAAAGACTTCATAGAATTCCCTTCTGAAACTATCTGAACATGGTAGTTTTTATTCTGATTTATTTATTTTTATTTGAAAAGGACAGACACTGTAGTTTTTATTTTTATTTATTTTTATTTGTGGGGGAATTACTTTATGATATTTTCTTTTTAAAAATTTTATTACACTTTAAGTTCTGGGGTACAAGTACAGAATGTACAGGTTTGTTACATGGGTATACCCATGCCATAGTGGTTGCTGCATCCATCACCTGGTCATCTACATTAGGTATTTATCCTAATGCTATCCTTCCCCAATCCCCCACCCCCTGCTATCCCTCCCCTAGCCCCCCACCCTCAACAGGCCCCCCATATGTAATGTTCCCTGCCCTGTGTTCATGTTTTCTTATTGTTCATCACCCATGTACGAGTGAGAACATGTGGTGTTTGTTTTTCTGTTTTTGTATCAGTTTGCTGAGAATGATGGTTTCCAGATTCATCCATATCTCCACATCTCCACAAAAGACATGAACTCATTCTTTTTATGGCTGTATAGTATTCCATGGTGTGTCTGTACCACATTTTCTTTATACAGTCTATCATTGATGGGCATTTGGGTTGGTTCCAACTTTTTCCTATTGCAAACAGTGCCACAATAAAAATAAGTGTGCATGTGTCTTTATAATAGAATTATTTCTAATCCTTTGGATATATACCCAGAAATGAGATTGCTGGGTCAAATGGCATTTCTGTTTCTAGATCCTTGAGGAATCACTGCACTGTCTTCCACAATTCTTGAACTAATTTACACTCCTACCAACAGTGTAAAAGCGTTCCTATTTCTCCAGATTCTCCCCAGCATCTGTTGTCTCCTGATTTTCTAATGATCACCATTCTAACTGGTGTGAGATGGTATCTCAAGATGGTTTTGATCTGCATTTCTCTAATGATCAGTAATAATGAACTATTTTCATATGATTGTTGACTGCATAAATGTCTTCTTTTAAAAAGTGTCTGTTCATATCCTTCACCCACTTTTTGATAGAGTTGTTTTTTTCTTGTAAATTTGTTTAAGTTCTTTGTAGATTCTGGATATTAGCTTTTTGTTATAACGGGTATATTGCAAAAATTTTTCCCATTTTGTTGGTTGCCAGTTCACTCTAATGATAATTTCTTTTGCTATGAAGAAGCTCTTATGTTTAATTATATTCAATTTGTCTATTTTGGCTTTTGTTGCCATTGCTTTTGGTATTTTAGTCAAAATCCTTGCCCATGTCTGTGTCCTGAATGGTACTGCCTAAGTTTTCTTCTAGAGATGTTAAGGTGTTAGGCCTCATGTTTAAATTGTTAATCTATCTGGAGCTAATTTTTGTATCAGGTGTAAGGAAGGGATCCAGTTTTAGTTTTCTGCATGTGGCTAGCCAGTTTTCCCAACACCATTTGTTAAATAGGAAATCCTTTCCCATTGTTTGTTTTTGTCAGGTTTTTCAAAGCTCAGAAGGTTATAGTTGTGTGGCATTCTTTCTAAGGTCTTTGTTCTGTACCATTGGTCTGTATTTCTGTGTGGTACCAGTATCATGCTGTTTTGATTACAGTAGCCTTGTAATATAGTTTGAAGTCAGGTAGCATGATGCCTCCAGCTTTGTTTTTATTTTTTTTTTGTTTTGCTTTTTGCTTAGGATTGTCTTGGTTATGTGGGCAGTTTTTTGGTTCTATTTGAAGTTTAAGGTGTTTTATTCCCAATTCTGTGAAGAAAGTTTTTGGTAGCTTGATGGGGATAGCATTGAATCTATAAATTACTTTGGGTATTATAGCCATTTTCATTACATTGATTCTTCCTTACCATGGACATGGAATGTTCGTCAGTATGATTCTGTCCTTTCTTATTTCCTTGAGCAGTGGTCTGTAGTTCTCCTTGAAGAGGTCCGTCACATCTCTTGTTGGTATATGTCTAGGTATTTAATTCTCTTTGTAGCATTTGTGAATGAGAGTTCACTCGTGATTTGGCTCTCTATTATTGGTGTGTAGGAATGTTTGTAATTTTTGCACATTGATTTTGCATCCTGAGACTTTGGTGAATTTGCTTATCAGATTAAGGAGATTCTGGGCTGAGATGATGGGGTTTTCTAAACATACAATAATGTCATCTGCAATCAGGGAAAATTTGATATCCTTTCTTCCTATTCAAATACAATCTATTTCTTTCTCTTGCCTGATGGCCCTAGCCAGAACATCCCATAATATGTTGAATAGGAGTGGTGAGAGAGGGCATCCTTGTCTTGTGCCAGTTTTCAAAGGAAATGATTCCAGTTTTTGTCCATTCAGTATGATATTGGTTGTGGGTTTGTCATATAAGATCCATCAATACCTAGTTTATTGAGAGTTTTTAGCATAAAGGGCTGTTGAATTTTGTAGAAGGCCTTCTCTACCTCTGTTAACATAATCATGTGGTTTTTGCCTTTGGTTCTATTTATGTGATGGATTATGTTTATAGATAGATTTGTGGATGTTGAACCAGCCTTGCATCCCTGGGATGAAGCCAACTTGATCATGATGAATAAGCTTTTTGATGTGCTGTTGGATTTGGTTTGCCAGTATTTTTTTCTTTTTTAAAGATTTTTGCATCAATGTTCATCATGGATATTGACCTGAAATTTTCTTTTTTAGTTGCATCTATGCCAGGTTTTGATATCAAAATGATGTTGGTCCTATAAAATGAGTTAGGGAAGATTCCCTCTTTTTGTATTGTTTGGATAGTTTCAGAAAATGTTACCAGTTCCTCTTTGTATCTCTGGTAGAATTCAGCTGTGAACCCATCTGGTCCTGCACGTTTTTTGGTAGGTAGGCTATTAATTGCTGCCTCAACTTAAGATCTTGTTATTGGTCTATTCAGGAATTCAGTTTCTTTCTGGTTTAGTCTTGGGAGGGTGTAAGTGTCCAGGAATTTATCCATTCTTCTAGTTTATGTGCATAGTGTTGTTTATAGTAACCTCTGATAGTAGCTCGTATTTCTGTGGAATCGGTGGTGATATCCCCTTTATAATTTTTTATTTCCTCTATTTGAATCTGCTCTCTTTTCATTTTTATTAGTCTGGCTAGTGGTCTATCTATTTTGTTGATCTGTTCAAAAAACCATCTCCTGTATTTATTGATTTTCTGAAGGGTTTTTGTGTCTCTAGTTCTTTCAGTTCTGCTTTGATCTTAGTTATTTCTTGCCTTTGGCTATCTTTTGAATTTGTTTGATCTTATTCCCTTTAGTACTTGTAGTCATGACATTATAGTGTTGATTTTATATCTTTCCTGGCTTCTCTGGTGGGCATTTAGTGCTATAAATTTCACTCTAGATACTGCTTTAAGTGTGTCCCAGAGACTCTGGTATGTGGTGTCTTTGTTCTTAATGGTTTAGAACAACATCTTTATTTATCCCTTCATTTCATTATTTATTCTGTAGTCATTCAGGAGCAGGTTGTTCAGTTTCCATGTAGTTGTGCAGTTTTGAGTGAGTTTCTTAATGCTGATTTCTAATTTGATTGCACTGTGGTCTCAGAGACTATATGTTATGATTTCCATTCTTTTGCATTTGCTGAGGAGTGTTTTACCTCCAATTATGTGGTCTATTTTAGGATAAATGTGAAGCGGTGCTGAGAAGAATGTATATTCTGTGGTTTTGGGGTGGAGAGTTCTGTAGATGTCTATTAGGTCTGCTTGGTCCAGATCTGAGTTCAAGTCCTGGATATCCTTGTTAATTTTCTGTCTCATTGATCTGTCTAGTATTGATAGTGTGGTGTTAATGTCTCCCACTATTATTGTGTGGGAGTCTAAGTGTCTTTGCAGATCATTAAGAACTTGTTTTATATGTCTGGGTGCTCCTGTATTGGGTGCATATGTATTTAGGATAGTTAGCTCTTCTTGTTTCATGAATCCCTTTATCATTATGTAATGCCCTTCTTTGTCTCTTTTGATCTTTGTTGGTTTAAAGTCTGTTTTATCAGGTACTGGCAGAGCAATCCCTGCTTTTTTTTGCTCTGCATTTGTTGGGTAAATCTTCCTCCAACTCTTTCTTTTGAGCCTATGTGTATGTCTGCACATGAGATGGGTTTCCTGAATACAGCACACTGATGGGTCTTGACTTTTTATCCAATTTGCCAGTTCGTGTCTTTTGATTGGGGCATTTAGTCCATTTATATTTAAGGTTAATATTGTTATGTGTGAATTTGATCCACCATTTTGATGCTAGCTAGCTGTTTTGCCCATTAGTTGATGCAGTTTCTTCATAGTGTTGATGATCTTTACAGTTTGGTATGTTTTTGCAGTGACTGGTATGGATTGTTCCTTTCCATGTTTAGTGCTTCCTTCAGGAGCTCTTGTAGGGCAGGCCTGGTGTTGACAAAATCTCTCAGCAGTTGCTTGTCTTAAAGGATTTTATTTCTTCTTTGCTTATGAAGCTTAGTTTGGCTGGATATGAAATTCTTGGTTGAAAATTCTTCTCTTTTAAGATGTTGAATATTGGCTTCCACTCTCTTCTGGCTTGTAGGGTTTCTGCCGAGATATCTGTTGTGAGTCTGATGGGGTTCCCTTTGTGGGTAACCTGACCTTTCTGTTTGTCTGCCCTTAGCTTTTCCTTCATTTCAACCCTGGTGAATCTTACGATTATGTGCCTTGGGATTGCCCTTCTCGAGAAGCATCTTTGTGGTGTTCTGTGTATTTCCTGCATTTGAACATTGGAATGCCTGGCTGGGTTGGGGAAGTTCTCCTGGATAATATCCTGAAATGTGTTTTCCAACTTCGTTTCATTATCTCTGTCACTTTTAGGTACACTGATCAAACATAGATTAGGTCTTTTTCATAATCCCGTATTTCTTGGAGGCTTTGTTTATTTCTTTCCCCTTTTGTATTCTCTAATCTTGCCTTCTCACTTTATTTCATTAAGTTGATGTTCAATCTCTGATATTTTTTTCTTCTGCTTTATCAATTTAGCTACTGAAACGTGTATACTTCATGAAGATCTTGTAGTGTGGTTTCAGCTCCATCAAGTCATTTATGTTCTTCTCTGTGCTGGTTATTCTAGTTAGCATTTAGTCTAACCTTTTTTCAAGGTTCTTAGCTTCCTTGCATTGGGTTAGAACATGCTCCCCTAACTCAGACAAGTTTGTTATCACCCAGCTTCTGAAGCCTTGCTTCTGTCAATTTGTCACACTCATTCTCCATCCAGTTTTGTTCCCTCCCTGGTGGGTGGTTGTGATCCATTGGAGGAGAAGAGGTGTTCTGGCTTTTTGTGATTTCAGTCTTTTTGTGCTTGTTCCTTCCCATCTTCTTCGATTTATCTACCTTTGTTCTTTGAAGTTGGTGACTTCTGGATGGGATTTCTGAGTGGATGTCCTTTCTGTTGGTGTTGATGGTATTTCTTTCTGTTTGTTAGTTTTCCTTGTAACATCAGGCCCTCGGCTGCATGTCTGCTGGATTTTTGTAGAGGCCCACTCCAGACTCTGCTTGCCTGGTAATCACCCATGGGGGCTGCAGAACTACAGAGATTGCTGCCTGCTTCTTCTTCTGGTAGCTTTGTCCCAGAAGGGTATCTGCTAGATGTCAGCCAGAGCTCTCTTGTATGATGTGTTCCCCAGTCAGGATGCAGGTGGGTCAGGTAACCACTTGAGGAAGCAGTCTGTCCTTTATCAGAGCTCAAGCACTGCACTGGGAGAGCTTTTGCTCCCTTCAGAGCTGCAGGACAGGGAGGTTTAAGTCTGCTGAAGCCAAACCCATAACCATCCCTTTTCCAGGTGCTCTGACCCCGGAAGGTGGGGGCTTTTTAAGTCCTTGATAGGGGGCTGCCTTTTTTCAGAGATGCCCTGTCCAACAAGAAGGGAGTCTAGCTGACAATCTGCCTATCGATGCCTTGCGGAATTCCCTTGGGCTCTCCCCAGTTGCTATGTTAAACTTCCTGGCAACTTTGTTTACACAGGCAAGGTTAAAATCGCCTATCCAAGTCTCAGCAATGGAAGATGCACCTCCTACAACTGAGCTCATATGTCCCAGGTGGAGTTCAGATTGCTGCACTGGCTGCAAGAATTTCAAGCCAGTGGATCTTAGCTTGCTGGTCTTGGTGGGGTTGGGACCCACCAAGCCAGATCACTTGGCTCCTTGGCATCAGCCCCCTTTTTCAGGGGAATGTGTGGTTGTGTTTTGCTGGCCTTCCAGGTACCACTGGGATATGAGAGAAAAAAAATGCAGCTTAAAGGGCTGCCATTTTATGCTGAAAACCCAGGGTGCTGGTGTTTTAGGCATTGCAGGGAATCTCCTGGTCTGTAGATTGTGAAGATCACAGAAAAAGCACAGTATCTAAGCCAGAGTGCTAGAGTGTTGGGAAACATCCCTAATTGCTTCCCTCAGCTAGGAGAGGGAGTTCTCCAGCTCCTTGCCCTTCCCAGGTGAGGTGATGTCCCACCCTGCTTCAGCTTGCCCTCCTTGGGCTGTACCCAACCTAGTACCTTGGTTGGAAATGCAGAGATCACTCATCTTCTGGATCACTCTTGTTGGGAACTGTACTCTGAAGCTGTTCCTATTCGGCCATCTTGGCACACTTTATGATATTTTCTATTTCTTCTATGGAGATCATTCTATTTATACAGTTGCTGATGAGGCTTTGGTGGAAAAATCACTGGACTAAAGTCATTAGGCGGCTGTTGGTATTCCAGCTCAGACACTTAGTTTTATTCTACACCATGTACTTGAACAAGACACTTTTCTTCTCCTGTTCTTGATTTTTTTCTCCATGAGAGGAAGTCCTCAATCAGAAGGGAATCTGGTGATGTGGTAAGGGGACAGATTTTAGAGTCAAACAAATTCGATATGGAATATAAACTCTGTTACTCACAAGTGTATTTTTTGATAAGTCAAATAATCACTTTGAACCTCAGTCCATGCCATGGGGATTGATAGAAATGGAATACTTTTAAATGGATATTATATTTTATGTATTTTATGTAAAGTTAAATAGAATTCTCACTTTTTTAGTTAGTTTTGAGGAATAAATTAGAATGTAGCTAAAATGCTAAACATATGGTAGGTAACCAATAAATGTATCTCACTTCCTCTCTGGCATAAACATGTGATTCTTCTTTCACTTCTATTCCAAGGTCACACTGAGGATCATCCCTGCTAGAATACGTATATCCTTGTAGCAAGTAGTATCAGAATACCTGAATGTACTTCCTAGATCTAAAGAGGAAAGATCTCCCAGATGACATCATACTGAGAAAAGAGGAGGTGCAGACTCACATCTGTACCTTTTTGATTACTTAATCTTTATGGACTGATGTTTTATATAAATTTCAGATTACAAAAGAGACAGACTTTACTCACAGCCCAAATATCATGGTACGAATATCTTAGCAAAAGCTGAAGGACATAGATCTCTGCTTTTCCCCAGTTGTCTTATGGTTGCTTGATGTCAATTTAATGACAACGTCCTTTTCTCCCAAACCTGTGAAGTAAATGAATCAGTTTGGCTTACTTGTCAACATCAGATGTTCCAGCTTTCTAAAATTCAGCAGAGGTGCTCTTACTACCTCTTAGTTCTTTCTTCTTTCTATAAATTAACTGTAATGACTTATAATTTACATAAAATAAAATGCACAGATATTAAGTGCATACCTTAATAGTTTTGACAAATGTGTACATCTATATAAACACCACCCAGATGAAGATAAATAATATGACTGTCACTGAAGTTGCCTCATACCTTTGCTCAGTCCATTCTCCCACCATTACTTCAAGCAACCACTGTATAATATATGTTTCTATAGTTTTGTTTGCTTACACTAAAACTCTAATTGAATGGAATGTACTCTTGTTTTGGCTTCCTTTTCTCAAATCATTTTGAAATTCAACTTGTCAGAATCTTTAGTTCATTCCTTTATAATTCCATATATCATGCAATTGCATGAATAAACAACTATTTCTTTAGCTTTCTTTATAATTTATTTTCATTTTGTTTCCTGTGCATGTGCATCTTAAACTGAGATATATTTAAGACAACATAATTAACTGAAGTTTACAAGTTGGTGGATTTTAGCATGTCCACAGGTTGTACAGCCATCACCACTGTCTAATTCCAGAACATTTTTTATTTTACTTAAAAAAGAACTGGTGACTATTAGCAGTCATTCCTCATTCTTCTTTTCCCTCAGCGCCTACAAGCATTTCTGTTCCAATGTATTTGTATATTCATGTTATTTCATATAAGTGGGATTATATAATGTGTGGCCTTTTGTGTCTGGCTTCCTTACTTAGCATAGCAATTTCAAAGTCTATTTGTGTCATACCATGTGTCAGTATGTCATTCCTTTTTATAGATAAGGATTTCATTGAAGGTAGTTTATGAAAGTTTATCTGTTCATCAGTTGATGGATAATTTGGTTATTTCCAGTTTTTACTATTGTAAATAAGCTGCTATGAACATTTATGTACCACTTTTTATATAAAATGTCTTTAAACTATCTTGTGTATGTATGTACATGTATATTTATATAAGTAGTTGTAGGGTTCTCTTTATTTCTTCATATAGATTTGGATTATAGTTTATAGTTTGGATTACAGGATTTCCTCATGTGTATTTGAATTTGACCTTTCATTCCATATTAAATTACTCTTTATTAGTAGTTTTTGTAGGGCATGTCTGTTAGTGACAAATTTTCTCAGCTAGTATTTATCAGGCTATGTCTGAATTTTTTCTTTATTTTCTTTTCAGTCATCTGACTGCCTTCTGGTATCCATGGTCTCAGATGAGAAATTTGCTGCTAATATTACTGAGGATCCCTTGTACATCATGAGACACTTTTTCCTTGTTGCTTTCAATTTTTTGTCTTTGGTTTTTGAAACATTAATTACACATGTCTAGGTGTAGGTATTTTAAAGTTTATCTTATTTGAAATGTATTGAGTTTCTTGAGTATTTAAATGAATGTATTTCATAAAATGTAGGAAGTGCCAATAAAGGATAAAGCTGAAATTACAGAGAGCCAGGCATTCAGATTTTTCATTCTCCTGTACTTATAAAATTATCTTACATCTCTTGCAAACCAAAGAATAAGTTTATAAACTTTTAGAATTAAAACTTTATTTAAAAGTTATAAAGGGAAATCTAGAAAGATGCTAAGATGTCTCCAGCTTGCCTTTCAGTTACAGTGTGAGTTCCTAAGCAGCCATTTTTCTTGTTTTACATAGCTAAATAGCAGCTGATGCTAATAGAAAGCAAAAACCTAGAAGTCGTGATGCAGAGATGAAAACTTTCTTCTCTCCAACATTTATACAAACCTGCAAACCAGTATAGCAGAGTCCTGGGAAGGGAAAATCTCAAAAGTTGTTTAGGTCCCAGATAGGGAAGGGAGAGAAGAAAGAAATTAGCAACAACTAGTATTAGCATTCCCGATTTTCCTGGCCTCCAAAGAGTTTCAAAAGAGCTTCATGGGTAGACAGGTGTTCTCCCCTCTTTTGCCGTGCATATATTACAAAAAAAGTAAACCAAAGTCTGGTGACTTATTAGCCTTTGCAAATGGTAGACCATCTACTCTTTACTTACATAACTATCTTTCTTACTATAGTGAATGAACAAAGAATAATTTCATAATTTCTAAAAAGGACAAACAGAAAGAAGATGAGAGAAGCTGAAAGAATTAGCTGATAAAATAGAGGCTTTTGGAAGAGAAAGACAACAATTTTAACCAAAAGTTAATAGGATATAGGTATACAAAAATAAAAAAGTAAACTCCTGAACAAACTATGGATTAGAGTATTAAATTGTGAGTTGTGAAGTAAACAATAAAAAGAAGACTATTTCCCACCAAAATCTAAGAAATACAGCAGAATGTATTTTTAAAAAATTATATAGCTTTAAATTTTTTTATAAATAAAAAAGTTATTGCTCATTTTATAAAGAACAATAAGTAGAAATATATTAGAAAGAGAAAATATACAAATATTAAAAACCAAAATTTACAAAATATAAAAACCTAAAGTAGCCTAAAAGATAAATAAATTCAAAACTTAGCATTTTCTGAAGATTGATAAAACAGAAAAACCTGTTGTGACCATGATTAAGAAAATAAGAGAATGGCTATGCACACTATGTGCTATTTAAAAGAAAAAAAAAGGAATGATGTAGGGTACCAGAAAATGATGTGTTAGATACAATTTAAATATGTTGTTCTTAGTGGTTAGTAAACTTTGAATGACTAAAATGTTGGAAGAAATGATTAGGAGTATGTTCTGGATTTGTTTATTATATATTCAACTGGTGCCATTGAGTAAGGACAAATACATAAATTGTGTATTCTTGATAGTCTAGATATCAAGATAAAAGGCCTGGTCAGAAACATAAATTTGGCAACATTCTTAATAAAAATCATAAGCATTTGGATCAAAGGCTTAGGTGAGATTACCAAAAGAATTTGTTAATTTGTAGGGTACATTGAGTTAAAGAGAATGGGAAAGAACCAACAACAATGGAGAAAGAATGGCCACTTAGGTATGAAGACAAACAAGTGACAGAGGTTGTTTTAGAAACCAAATATAGTAAGTAAGTTAGAAACTGAAAAATGACCATGTGACCAAGATCAAATCATTCACTTGTCAATTTTAAGTTCTCATCTTACTTGGCCTACCTCTTGACCCATCAGCAAAATTTAATGCAAAGAGATACTTGTTTTTATTTACTTACATATTTTTTTACAGTTACAGTGGTTGTATTTGTGCCATTCCCAACTTTAGAGTATTTTCAAATCATCTAAATATAGATATTTCAGATACATTGATGCTTTTTTCCATTTCTTTTTTTTTTATAATTTAATTCTGGGGTACATGCTAAGAGTGTGTGTGTTTGTTACATAGGTATACATGTGCCATGAGACTAGTTATTTTAATTGTGACATTATGGTGTCTATTTTAGATCTTTTCTTGTTTCTCTTGTGGGCATTTAGTGCTATAAATTTCCCTCTAGACGCTGCTTTAAATGTTTCCCAGAGATTCTGGTAGATTGTGAATTTATTCTCATTGGTTTAGAAGAACATATTTATTTCTGCCTTCATTTCATTATTTATTAGTTGTCATTCAGGAGTATGTTGTTCAGTTTCCATGTAGTTGTGCGTTATTTTATAGTGACTTTCTTAATCCTGAGTTCTAATTTAATTGCACTGTGGTCTGAGAGACTGTTTGAATATCATCCTGATACCAAAACCAAGCAGAGATACAACTAAAAAAGAATATTTCAGGCCAATATCCATGATGAACATTAATGCAAAAATCCTCAATCAAATACTGGCAAATTGAATCCAACAACACACTGAAAAGTTTATCCAACACAATTCAGTTGGCTTCATCCTTGGGATGCAAGTCTGGTTCAACATATGCAAATCTATAAATAAAATCCATCATGTAAACAGAATCAAAGACAAAAACCACATTATTAACTCGACAGATACAGAGAAGGTCTTTGATAAAATTCAACAGCCCTTTATGCTAAAAACTCTCAATAAACTAGGTATTGATGGAATGTATCTCAAAATAATAACAGCTATTTATGACAAACCCACAGCCAATATCATACTGAATGGTCAACAACTGGAAGCATTCTCTTTTAAACCTGGCACAAGACCAGGATGCCCTCTCTCACCACTCCTATTCAACATAGTATTGGAAGTTCTGGTCACAGCAATCAGGCAAGAAAAAGAAATAAAAGGTGTTCAACTAGGGAAAGAGGAAGTCAAATTGTGTCTATTTGCAGATTACATGGTTGGTATTTAGAAAATGCCATCATCTCAGCCCAAAATCTCCTTAAACTGATAAGCAACTTCAGCAAAGTCTCAGCATACAAAAATCAATATGCAAAAATCACAAGCATTCCTGTACACCAATAACAGACAACAGAGAGCCAAATCATGAGTGAACCCCCATTCACAACTGCTACAAAAGAAGTATATACTAGGAATATATCTTACAAGTGATATGAAGGACTTCTTCAAGGAGAACTACAAACCACTGCTCAAGGCAATAAGAGAGGATACAAACAGATGGAAAAAACATTGCATGCTCATGGTTAGGAAGAATCAATATAGTGGAAATGACCATACAGTCCAAAGTAATTTATAGATTCAATGGTATCCCCATTAAGCTACCATTGATTTTCTTCACAGAATTGGGAAAAAAACACCTTAAACTTCATATGGAACCCAAAAAGAGCCCACATAGCCAAGATAATCCTAAGCGAAAAAAAAAAAAATCAAAGCTGAAGGCATCACACTACCTGACTTCCAACTATACTACCCCTCCCCAACCCTGCCATCCATCCCCCAGCTCCCCACTCTCGGACAGACCACAGTGTGTGATGTTTCCATCCCTGTGTCCATGTGTTTTCATTGTTCAAAACCCACTTACAAGAGAGAACATGCAGTGTTTGGTTTTCTGTTCTTATGTCAGTTTGCTGAGAATGAT